GATACTGATCCTTCTTTGTTTCACTCCTATAAATCTGCATCAAAAAGTGAGCTTCTTAAGCAAACTATACCAACTGTGACGAGATATTTCTAAGCCCAAAGGTATTTAGACCTCTTGGTCTTTAATTCCACTTGATTTTAGAGAAATAAAATTCCAGAAAATTATCATATCCAAAAACAAGTTTCTCCTTCTTTTAGGTGCTTCAACTTTTTTTGCCTTCATCCAAAATAAAATGGGTATGACAAAAAAAATATTTAAAAACATTTCAGTGGCCGTATAACGTTAGCATCTTAAGCAGTCCATGGAGCTTGTCAGAGCAACTGGAGAGATTGATGAAGGGAAAAGACATTGAAATCCCAGAACAAAACTTGGTCGGGTCTGGAGTAGAGTTGGAGTGGAGTTTAATCTTTCAGCTGGACATTGACTTTACACATACGGCAAGAACTACAAGAGTTAGAATAATATATTTATATATTTGAATTGAACACTGATAATCAAGACCTACAGTACAGTACATATAACAGAGAATCTTCAAACCGCTATTTTTACACTCTCCACATCTAATCAGACTGAGCCTAAACTATTTTGAAAATAACAGGCAGAACTGTCAGTTTCCATAACATAAATAACAAGTTTTAATTGTTTTACGGTAATTACTTTTAAGGTAATTTCAAAGGAAGTCATGCGAGGAGCCCTAGCTCTTCGCATGACCTAAGAAATAAATCACAGTTGATAGAATTTCTTACTTTATTTTCCAATTCATTTAGTAATATTTGAAACAATGTGGTGAAAACATTTAAGGAAGCTTTGGGTAATGCCAAACTGGACAAATAAATTTGGCATACAACGAGCAGGACAAAGGTGACCTTTCCCAGCTCCCCCTATAAGGTGGCTTAGTGCCAGTAGGAACTATAAAAGTTCCACACTCAAACACTGCTCCTTACAATTTACCTTTTAAAAGGTGCTAGGTTTATTAGATGAAGCAGCATTCTATTTTTCCATCCAAGCAGGATGGATTCATTAACAACAAATACGTCAGTGTAAAGGGTCTTTTATACATCTTATTTCATTAAGGGCTTTTAACGAGAGTGCTAAGTAGTCCAGGTACCCATTATGAGAAGGGCAAGAATCGCCAAAGCTGCTGGGAACTACAGTATGTCTGTCTATGGTCTGTGAATTTTTTCATGAAAGTAAACATTACTAATAGTGTGCATGCCAATTCCTATGCCTCCTGGATGACTTATGGGGATGAACAGACACTCATAAAGTACACTCACTTTATGTCCTTACACTCTTATTGTAATAGTACAATGCATAAATGGTGCATTTTGTGTCATATTAAATTAAAGCAAAATTTTTAAATACTTTTGGTAATCTTGGCCCAATCAGTCTATTTTAAACACCATTACAGTCATGCTGTTATTTATTATTTCAGCATGAACTCCAAGCCTATAGCAGATGGAATGCTTCACCATCATCATGTGTTTTTTGGGGTGTTATAGTATCCGTATTTGTTCCAGTGAGGGAGGAAGGGGATAGGTGTATAATAAACATAACAATTAACTGTCAGCTGTGATGACTGTCGTTAGCCATCACAATCCCTCTTCAGCAGGAATTTCCTCATTATTGGTGATATGCTTTATTAATTATGTCCAAACAGCTAGCCTAATCAGCGTTGTTTTTCATTTTTGCTGTTTTTTTTGCTGAAACCTTCTACTTTCGATGAGTGTGGCCTTGGATTGGACTTATTTGGACCAAATTCTTATTCTCTTGAAAAGACAAAAAACAGCTGTGTCATCTGATCTCTAGTGTGAAGAAATTAAAATAAATTGAGCATCATATTTTAATTGTTAGCCAGTTATTTTGAGACCATTTCTGCTGCAGGTCACTTTCTACCTTTCTAATGTCGCTACATAAATGTTCGGTATGAAAGAATAGAATAAAGGCAATGGCAGTGTCTACTGCTTCTATATGCTTATTCAGGAGCAGTGAATGCTGCATGCATTTCTAATTTGATTGAAATGAGGTTGTGAAATGCCTTTATATTACATGTGTTGTAAATTGGTATTGTATAACCTGGCTGAATTATGTTAAATAAATCTTTCATTTTATATTATAATGATGATTCTAGGTCAAGTTAAACAAGTTCTTCTGGTTGCTGTTGCCATTTATACCTAAATCATGCATGAAGGAGTTACCTCTGTGCTGTTCACCAGCACAATGCAGAATCACCAGCTATAAAATAGACTTCATATATAACTTTAGACCTAATGGTTTCATAAGGATAGTGTTGTTATATATCCTCATTTAGTCATGAGGTTGTGTGCAGAATACGTGACTGTACTAGGCTAGGAAACAGCAGTGCATGATATGGTTAATTCTCTTTAAGAGTTTTTAAACTTATTTGACAGGCTTGTCTGTAACTGTACAAATGTGCTGTAACTTAGTTAAAGTTTGCTGAATGTTATATCTTTTTTTGAAAATTTTGGCATTGTGTTTAATGAAATGTATTTTGATCTCTGAAACATTGAACATGAAATGAACAATACTGTAGAAACCTCAGTTAAAGTCATGCTTTTGTTTGACCATAACAGGGAGGAGCTGGGCTGATGTCAGAGCAATCTCAGGGGCCCACTATAGTCTAATCTATAAAGGCTTAGCAGGCTGACAGGATCACTCAGCTACTGATTCTGACCTTGTATTCAGCTGCATGTGGAAGAATAGTTGGAGACACACAACTATTGACCAGAACTACAGAAAGACAGAGAAGGCCCAACGGCAAAACCATAAACAAGAACGTCTGTCCTAAGCTGCTTGTAAACATGTCTCAATGGGTAAATAATTTCAGGGGAAGCCATAATGGAAGCATGTGATGACAGTGGAAGTCTATGGAACCTTCTCTGACTCAACAATGAGGAGGCTGACTAAAAGCAATGCAAAAAGGAACAAATTAGTCCTCATAATGAGAACAGCAGCTCAAATATCAGAGTGAAAAACTGAATAAGGAATGTTTACCTTTCTTAAACAAGTTTTGTATAATAATAAAGAAAGCTTCCAAAGAAAAACCTCAAACCGGTTACACTGACAAAATAACATGATGTATTAGTTAGCTTTCGCATGAAGGTGAATATTTGCACATCTGTAAGAGATGAAATCAAGAAGGGCTGTGGTGCACTATGCTGCACACATATGTAAGTAGTTAATCTTTCAGATATGCATGTCAATATACTGTAGGTTATTTCTTTGAATATCTTCTATTATTCTTGTTTGCAACTATGTTTTAATATACATACTGTGTTGCCAGTGGAACGTGAGATTAAATCCTAATCAAGTAGCCATGTCAACAATTTAAACTGAGACAAACCCAAACTCTGATTTAAATAAAAATACTTTTTTTTTTATGCCGGTGATAATTTCCTCACTCAGATCCTGTCTCCTTATATACACAAACAAACCTCAATCAAGCATGTTGAGAAATGTTGACCTCTGTATAAAACCTTCCTATTTTGAGCAGGAGCCCTGAAAACGTTTTAACAACTTGTGGCTGGTGTGGTTTCTGGGGGGACCCTGAGATAGAACTGACGCTAACAGAATTGGGAACTCTGCGGCTCAAACTCATTTTTTGATCTAGTCCAGACTCTTTGTGACGACATAGTGTGGTGCCCTGCCCTCATTCTCTCTCTACAACACACAACCACATTCTCAAATAGCACCAAATGCAGCTCTGTGGACACTTGCTTTTGGCCCACCTATAGTTTAAAAATGAGTGCCGGGAAGTTGAACGTGCTCTGCTTTGTCTTATGGAGGTGGGCCTTGCCAGACAGTTGCTATGATAACACATTGTCAAGGTATTAATAAATTATAACGCGTTGGAGAGTCATTAGGATTTTTGTTGTTGTTAAAGGTAGAGTACTGTAGGCGTTTTCTGCATTGATGGATTTATTGGAGTCATAATATCCGACAGGGCATCGATAGGATAGAATTATATATACCTTACAACAGCAATCATTGGGCCCTGATGATGCATATTGAAGAAAAAGTATGGATAAACTTTAGCTCATACCCAGATCTTGTTTTGCCATCGGTAATTAAAGGTAAAGAGGACAATCTTTTATTTCTGGGTGGATCATCAAAATAATTGGTCCTAGTAATTCTCAATCATTCTTGTGAAATGTTTACGTAAAGCCGTCCTATGTGCTCTTTTCCAGTTAGCTATCTTTTTCTGTACATGTGCACTTTCAGGCGTATATGTGTGGTAAGCTACGGTTTGAGGCGGTCAATAAAGCTCACCTTTCTCAACGTGGTTCATTAAAAATGGCCGAGGGTCAAAGTGTATGAGCAGGCTTTTTGCTGTCTGACAGCGATGACTAATAACAAAGATGGATTCAACAATCTCTAGTGTGCCGTTCAGTACAGTACAATATACGATTTTCGCATCAAATTATAAATTGCAGGTACTCTGCTTAAATGCTACATTTATCAAAGACCTTGTGGGTCATTATTATTCTCCTACCTTCCTCCGTAAGAAAGTGAGAACAATTATGTTGCTAAAATATATGCTAGGTGTGATTTAGGGAAACGCTTCAGCTCATATGAGATTCTGAAAATAAAACCTTGAGTTAAAATTTGAGGTTTTGGGTGCAGCACTGCTTCTGGGAGTGCACATAATTTTTAAAGGCCTCAGTCCTCACCGGGAGTGGAAAGTAGTGATCATCTGTTCGAACGGTGAGTTAACTGAGTTTACTATATAGTCCCAGCCAGGGCCGGCCCGAGGCATAAGCGAACTAAGCGGCCGCTTAGGGCCCCCTGGTGGCCAGGGGGCCCCAAGCAAAAATGATTGAACAGGCCCTGGTCAATTTTTTTTTTTTTTTTTTTACATTTAAATAACTTAAACAAGTGATATAAATGATGAATACCAATTAATAAATAAAAAATTCAAGACAAAAAAAATTCTGATTTGTCCACAACTGCTCATGCGCATTCACTTCGCGACGGCAGCCGCAGACAGCTCACGGTATGCAGCGCGCCTGCATTGACAATTCACACTGGCGCGCACCTGTTAATAACCAAGTCTAAGCCATGTCACAAAAAAGGATTTATCCCTCTGGTGCCGAAAAAAGAAAAAAGAAAAGGAAAGAGGAAGAGAAAAAAGAGCAAGATAAAGGTATGTTTGCATGATTATTTACTGACCGTTATATTTTGTGCAGCAGCAGCACAGCTAGCTAGTCATCATAACTCATGTCGTGATATTTATCAGCCATCCATCACCATTAACAGTGAAATATTACCCGTTATTAATATACATTTATTTAGGTAGGTGTGTATTTTATGTGTTGATACATATCGGCGTAGGAGACCCAGCACATGCTGGACGGACTATGTTTCTCGGCTGGCCTGGCCTGGGAACGCCTGCTTGGGAATCCCCTCGGAGGGGAGGGACGTCTGGGCCTCGCGTTGAAGCTGCTACTCCCGCGACCCAACCCCGTATAGGCGGAAGATAATGGATGGATGGATAGATATCGGTTTAAGTTGGAGAAAACACAGATGCCAGCAGCCAGCTTAGCTAGCATTGTTGTTTGTGTTAAAATGAATCTACTAACTTAATAGACAAAGCACATGCGCTCTCTGCTCTAAGATCTTTGGTGAGAGATGGTAATTTATCTTTATTAGAAAATATACCAAAAATGAAAATAGAGTGCAGTTTTATTAACATTGTGCTTTCCTCATATTTAGGCTGCAGTAGATCACAATGTTAAGTTTTTACCATATGGCAATTATGCCTCATTTGCCAATAGAATATGAATTGTTAGGTGAGGTGTGGAGTTTCTTGTAGTGCAAGATGGGAAAATAAACTCATTCTACAATAAATTATCAGTAAATTTAGATAAAACCAAATTCATGATATTCGGAAAAAATTAAAAACAGGAAAACAATCCAATTAAAATATCAATTGAAAGTGTTGATTTAGAACAAGTACATGAAATAAAATTCTTGGGTGTCATATTAGACGATAAGTTTAGCAGGAAACATCAGATCAGCCTAGTAAAATCTAAAATAACCAAAAGTGTTGCTGTTATAAGAATTAGATTCGTCCTGGACTACAAATCTTTGTTTATTTTGTACAAAACACTTATTGTACCACATTTAACATATTGTGTGGAAGTTTGGGGGAATACATACAAAACAAATTTACAGCCATTATACGTTTTACAAAAAACAATCAATCCGAATATTCCATAAAGTGGGATACTGGGAACACACAAATCAGTTATTTATCAAATAAAATATACTGAAATTCTGGGACCTGGTAATATTTAGAACTTCACAATTCATGTTTAAGGTCCGAAATCAAAAACTTCCACACAATATACAGGAAATGTTTGGTGACAGAGAGGGGGGGTTATGATCTAAGAGGTGAAGGATACGTTAAAAAACAACACTTTAGAACAACCAGGAAGATTTTTTGTTTATCTGTGTGTGGAGATAAATGTCTGGAAAGGATTGAATGACGAGTTTAAAAAAATTATAAATGCAAACCAATTTAAAAAACTGATTAAAACCGAGCTCATTTCAAAATACGCTATATAAGATGACTGTTTAATAGTCTATAATGTAATTGATGACATAAATAGTACTTAAAATAATTGTACATGGCTAAACATCATGTGGAATGGAAACAAGTGTTTTTTTGGTTTCTTGATGTTTTGACAGTTAATTGATGATAAATTGACAAGTAGGAAAGGGGCAGGACATTATAAGATGTATCTTCTAGCTGCTCCTTTTCGAACAGAAAATATAAAATTTGCATGTCACATGGGCAAAATAATTTGTTTTATATTTTTATTCTTACGTTTGTTTCATTTAAATTTTTTCTTTCTTGATTGTTTTTGCTGTCTGTTCGAAATAAATAAATAAATAAATAAAAACTATGCATTATGCAATGCTATTTTTCCCAGGAACACTATTGAAGTACTTTGGAGAACAACCAACTTTACCTGCCCCTACTGTTTCGAGTGTCAGTGCCTCCACAGCTGATGATGCAGCAGGTGAGGGTTTTCTTGATGGCAAATGGTTACATAGCCTGTTAATATGACATGAAACATTTAGCTTTTTATTTATTTCTTTATTTTTTCTTTGTTTGTTTTATCATTGCAGGTTCATCCACTGCACAAGCGACATCAAGGGAGGAGCACTTACATGTGACTGAAAGCGAGGAGCAGTTACAAGCACCTACATTTACTGATCCACTGGTTTCAAACTCAGCCGGCATGACAGGTCTGTTAATCTAAGTTTTTGTTTTGTGTTGGCTTTACAATAAAATTTTCTGCTATGTTATTTTATTCTTTTTTATGTAATCTATTGTCCCTACAGGTCCTTCTACATCTGCACCCACTGCTATAGATTTCCCATCTACTGCCTCAACAAGCTCCAGCTATCAAGATGGATCAACAGCTCCTCCAATAGACCCAGCTGAATGGTCAGCATTCCTCTCAGATTCAGAAAGGACTGATCTGGTAAGAAGAGGGCCAGCGCCAATCAGTGACACCTCTACATTCCCCAAGAGATCAGATGGACGAAGCTTTCACTACCACTATACATACAGACAATTAGTTAATGGGGAAAAAATCAAGCGAAGCTGGCTAATTTATTCAAAGAAAAGTGATGCAGTTTACTGCTTCTGTTGCAAATTATTTTCAAGAAAGTCCACAAAGCTGTCATCAGAGGGACTGTGTGATTGGGTAAATGTAGGTGCTTTGCTGAAACAGCATGAAAATAGTCAAGATCATTGCAATAATATGGTAAAGTGGAAAGATTTTGCCCTCCGTCTTTCTAAGCAGAAGACTATTGATGCAACAGAAATGGCCCTTTTGGATGCAGAAAGAAATCGTTGGAGAGATGTTCTTATCCGTTTGATTAGTATCATTCAGTCTTTGGCAGAGAGAAATCTTGCACTCAGGGGGTCTGTTGATACTTTGCATCAGGCCAACAATGGGAACTTCCTTAAAGAGGTGGAACTGATGGCAAAATTTGACCCTGTGTTAAAAGATCACATCAGACGAATTGATAGTGGAATGCAGCACAACACGTACCTGGGTAAGACTATCCAGAATGAGCTGATAGTGTGTCAGTGACAAAATAATTGAGGTAATGGTGGCAGAAATCAAGGACTGCAAATATTATTCAATAATTTTAGACTGTACACCTGATGTTAGTCACCATGAACAAATGTCTGTTGTGGTGCGCACAGTCACTCTGGGCACAACACCAGAAATAAAAGAGCACTTTTTAGGATTTCTGATAGCTCCAGAATCCACTGGCCTGGGTTTGTCCAATTTAATCCTTAGCAGGCTTGAGGAATTGAACATCCCTTTTCAGGATTGTCGGGGGCAGTCCTATGACAATGGGGCTAATATGAAGGGGAAAAACAAAGGTGTGCAGGCTAGGCTATTGGTTAAGAATCCAAGAGCTTTTTATGTGCCTTGCAGTTCCCATACACTAAATCTGACAGTGTCAGATGCGGCTAAAGCATCAACGGATGCTTCTTGTTTTTTTGGAAATGTAGAGAAGGTGTACGATTTGTTCGCTGGGTCCACTCAAAGGTGGGACGTCTTACGGAAGTTTGTTGACATCACACTCAAATCCTGGAGTGAAACACGCTGGGAAAGCAGGATAAAAAGCATTGAAGCTTTGCGGTAACCAGTCAGAGAAGGTGAGGGAAGCCCTGCTAGAAGTGAGAAGCAAAGCGACTGACCCTGTAGTGGCTGTTGAAGCCAACTCGCTTGCGGAAGAGATAGGTTCATTTAGGTTCCAGATTTGTTGTGTTGTCTGGTATGACATTTTGTCTAAAATTAACATCACGAGCAAGCTTCTACAGTCAAAAAACATGCAGCTTGATGTAGCAGTTAACCTTCTAAAAAAGAACAAAGGTGAACTTATCAGTTACCGAAAAACAGGCTTCTGTGATGCGCAGGCATCTGCTAAAGAAATTTGTGAGCGGATGAACACAGAAGCAGTGCTGAAAGAGAAGCGATTGCGTTCTACAAAAAGGCACTTTGCCTATGAGGCTGCAGATGAGCCTATAGTGGATGCTATGAAGAGGCTTGAAGTGTCATTTTTTAATGCCGTAGTGGATTGTAGCATTCAGTCATTGGAGGATAGATTTACATCTCTAAGTGAGGTTAAAGATAACTTTGGAGTGCTGCTCAATTTTAGGGAGCTTGATCAAAAAGTCCGGAGGGAACAATGTGAGCTTCTTGCGGAAAAACTCACTTGTGGAGAGGAGGCTGATATTGATGGTAACGCACTGGCATTAGAGATAGAGAGTCTTCCTGAACTTCCCCAAACTATGAAGACTGCCTTTGAGCTTCTCACATACCTCTCACAAAACGAGATGTTTGAGCTTTACCCAAATCTTTGGGTAGCTCTCAGGATAGCCTGCACTCTGCCTGTGACAGTTGCCTCAGCAGAGAGGAGCTTTTCCAAGCTCAAATTAATAAAATCATACTTGAGATCATCAATGGCCCAGGAAAGACTAAGTGGACTTGCAGTCATTAGTATTAATAACAAAGTTGGCCAAGCAATACCATACAATGATGTCATCAGTGACTTTGCCTCCAGAAAAGCTAGGAAGGAACGATTTTGAGGGCATTGTTGTACAATTCATTGTTGAACCCTTGCTGTTTTTATGTTTGCTTTCCTTATTTAAGTATCTGTTTTTGTAACATTCTATTTTTGATATTAATGTTTGTCTATATTGGTTTTATTTAAAATATTGCACAGTTAATGCACATTTGCAAATAAGTTATTTAATGTTTGTATTCAAAAGGTTTAATAAAACAAAGTATTGTAAGTATTGTTTATTTATTTTGTATTAATACATTACCATAGTCTATTCATTTTTAATATTCACTATAACATTATAGTGTGACATTTGTGTCAGTAATCTTCTAGTATAGGTGATTCTGCATGGTAGGAGGGGGGGCCCCCAAATCAAATTCTGCTTAGGGCCCCCAAGAGGCTCGGGCCGGCTCTGGTCCCAGCTCTATATAGTGATTGAGGGATTTAGGGGTTAGAGCGGACATTTGGACACAGTTAGCTTGTATGAGCTATATGCTGGTGAAGATTCTCAATCATCCATGTCATAGTTATTTCAAAAAAGTAAAAAAAAAATCAGCGCTTTGTTTTCAGTCACATCAAATCACTCTATAATACTTCAATTTCAATGCTATTTCTGACATTTTGAATTGAAAAAGCTTCCTGGATGGGAAGCGAAACATCTACAAACTTGGAAACAAAGTGCAGTGGGTTTTTTTTTTTTACTTTTTTGGAACTTGTATGAGCTATGAGAACAGCAACTTTTAAACAAGCACAAGCAAATTGGCTTGTGCATGCTCCGAGCGGGTACAGGCAGTACTTGAGTTGAGGGGGGATGGCATCCCCCTTCTTAAAACACCTTAAAGATCATCCCTCTTCTAAAATGACCATACCCCCATTCCATCCCCTGTAACATTTTAATTCTTAATGTGTAAAAATCTACTATTTATTAACAGTAATGGCCATAATATTGCCCTTTCAACATTTGGCAGGCTGTGGACTTAACAAGTAGCCTGAGAGTAATAAGTCGCCTACCATGACTATGAAGCTGATCCCAGTGGAAAATTCCTGACTTTTCTGACCATTCCATCATGCTACAATCTAAACTCTCTTCTGAAATGTAATAAATGAAATACATGACAATTCAATTAAATAAAAGTGAATACTTGGATTTGTCATTCCTAATCAAGATTTTATTACTTTATGATAGAATAAGTAATTTATTTTATCAGTTTCAGCAGGTTCATTTGGACTAAATGCAGGAAATGAGACCCAAACCAATTCGGTACAGTGTGCAGGACGATAAGATATTTTATTTTCTTATTTTATGTAAACTGATTTGCCACATTTGTCTTGCCTAAAAAGGTGTTTGGAAATAATTAGTTTTTTTCCCTTCACACGTGTCTTTTAATGTATAAATGTCAGTTTTGACCTGATATTTTTCTATCACACATTACTGAAAAAATGTTAAATGTTCTCAAGATCAATCTTTGGTTCCTTCTTCCTGCAGCCCTGCCCCGATCATTTTTTTTTATTGTTTTTTGTTAAATGAACTTAAGTTGGATGACTCATTGTGTTCCAGCTTCAACCCACCACATGTCAAAGTGTCCTTGGACAAAACTGAATCCCACATTACCCAACAATCCCCACTATGTGACTGGGTGATTTTGACATCTTTTGTAAAAGTGCTTTGAATTGTCAGTGAGGAATAATAGCACTATATAAATGAGCTCCATTTCGTTGCTTTAAAATGACCTCAGTTTCTTTGTGTATTCTTTGTGATGAGAGAAAACCAAGAGCATTGTAAGGTCAATTAGCTTGAGTTTTAGGCAGCTTTCAGACTTTCAGCACATTTGGTAAGTTTTAGTTTAGCCGTATCTATTCAATTTGAACATTAAAAAAGAAAAAGAAAACAGTTTCAGATTTTTTTTTTTTTATATTACGTATTGAATAAATTCGCATTACTATATATTGAAAAAATAATTATTTCATAATGTATCCCCTGCAGAAATCTATTAATAGAGTAATCTCATAAAATCTAAACTTTAATTACAAACTTTACAGATTTAGTTCATAGATGGGAATTTATTGATTGATTGTACGGTACTGATTTGAAAAATACATTTTTTATACTTGTCAGTTCTGACAATCTGCTGTTTATTATGCGAAAGTCATGATAGGTTTATATTCAGATATCTATTTGTATGCACAAGTTTAACTTGTGTCAAAATCATAATAAAATAATTGTTGTTACAGTATAATAATATTAACTAACTTTCAGATAAGATATTTGCAAATATCTCTAATGGTTTAATCTATATCTTGGATATGAAAAGAGTAAATATATAAATATGACAAACATTAAAAGTATTCAGTTTTCCTTATGAAATAAAAAATACATATGTGATTTAAATTGTGTTTTAAGTCATTGTTGTGCTTGTACCAAAGACCTTACATACAGATGTAGTCCTTGCTTTTGAGAACTGTATATTAGGCTTAAAAGTTTACTTTATTTAAAAAAAAAAAGAAACAAAACAACTAAAACCATACCTGATTACAATCTTAACACAGCTGTTAAAAGGGTCCTGGAGGACAGATGTATAAATATTTATACAGTTGCCCGCATCAACCATCAAAAGTACAAAAAGAGGCAGGTGGGGAAAGGACTAACAAGGTCAGACATCTACACATTTGAAAATATCACCATATCAAGTCTGTCATCAGTCATACCTGTGCACCTGTAGGTTTCAGGTTCCCATCCTGTTATATCAACCCGCCACCTGGGGTTCTGTTTATGCTACAGCAATTGTAGTTGCTGGTATGAGGTCAGCTAGTCATTCTTACTGTATGGCATAACATACATGCAAGAAATACAAAAATACACTATGATTTCATAACAATAGCAGAGAATAGAAGGGTTTGAAAAAGTTCAGTCTAGGCAACTGGACGTGAAGTTTTTTAGTAGACGTAACAGCACCTCAGAAGCCTCTTGGATAAGAGTTGAAACGTCTTCTAAAAAACTTCCCGTCCAGTTGCTTAGACTAACTTTTTTCCAGGCTTGACTATGACTTTGATGATGGAGAATCTTCACAGATCAGAGGATACAAGGTTAAAGTATAAAGAAGTTAGATTTACTGGATCCTGATTTTATTTTTAACCTCTTCATGACTTCTCAGTGTCATTTGTTTCTGTTTTGCCTTTTATTCTGTGTGGAGCCAATCAGAAATCCACATTTAACAGAGTCTGGACAAAATGTTGAAAATGAATTTCTGTTTAAGAACTCTGTAAACTTGACGTGGTTATATATGGAGGTGTGCCCGCAAAATCTGTGTAATTTTATTAGCATCTATATTAGTCAATATAAGAAGCATTTACTCTAAAATGGCAGTCAGTAAGCTCTAATTTTCACTTGAAACATTTTCTGCCTTAAAATTTTTGCCCTCCTTTCTTACTTGGGCCCCAATCTTCTCTCATGCATTTTACGTCTCTACATCAGCAGCCTCTGACAAGACCCAGTCATCCAGACATCCCAATTTCCCTCTATGGAAAATCCCCTTCTTATTCTCCTGACAAAATGTGATTAATCATCCCATTAACCCATCCACTGTCACTGGATTGTTGAGAAGCACTTATAACACAACCCCTACCATCCCTAAGGGAGATATCTAATCTTCAGGCCATCTTCCAAAAGCTCTCAGGCAAAAAATCTTGTCTTTGTGTGCTCCACACCTAAAATAACTATCATTCAGGATAAGCTTTATGGTCTGTCACAAAATCTTGCACTGAGTCAAGAGGTTCTTGACTCACAGCAGAGAAACCTTAGAACAGTTACACACTCGAGAGGAAAATGTTTGTCGGCAAATTACACCAAACTGTAATAAGATAGTGAAAAATGTTAGGTGAGTAACAGCTTGGAGTAACAATGTTCAGTTGGGAAAACTCTAATTAGCTAGTATTATGACATTTACTACAGAGGTAAACTGTTCTGAAATAAATTCACCCCCTTTAAGGATTTATAGACCACTTCTCTATTTAACAGAATCCCAAGTAATAATCAACAAAAGCTTCAGCTTAAATTACAGAGGGGTCAAATGATTACGAAACCTTTGATTGTGTAATTTTTTTTTTTCTTTGTTAGTTTTCCAGAGTTTTTGTGTTACACCAGCCTGAGGTGTTGCTGTATTCTATAATGGAATAGAATACAGTGGTTCACTTATTTCATTCTTCCTGGTCAGGGTGATGGGTTAGGAAATGGCCATTTCCAGTGATCAGTAGATAAGAGGCACAGTAGAAACTGGGCAAGTAACCAGTAAACCACACTATCTCAGTGAGAAATTGACCTAATTTTAATAGCTATTAAATAAACGTAATCATGCTAGTGGCAGCTTTATGCCATGGAAGCTAGTCAGAGTTGATGGGATGATGTAAGGGGCCAAATACAGGCTAATCCTAAAAAAAAAAAAAGTCTTTAGACAGGGTGAAGGCTTTCCCATCAGAACAATAAAATTAACTCACTAATGTACCCACAGTACAATAGAGGGTTAGATCAAAGCCAGTTCCTGATAAAACTACCCAGTCGAAATCCACATACAAAAGATGATCTGTTTCTTGTCACAAACCATTAATATTCTGGCGGAGCTTACTCTGTTGTGTAAAAGAAAAATGCGTAATAAAATAGTCTTTAAAGTTCAAATCTTCTGGAGAGATTTCCCAAACGACCTACAGCTATATCGTCAGGAGGGGGGACAAGGGTCAGCATCCCCCTCCTTGGACATCTCATGCACAACATTACCTATTATAACTCATGTGCAATATTCTTTTATCTCACTGTGCAATAACACATGCCAACTACTGTGTAGCCTGTGTAATTTTTTACTTATTTATAAGGTCAGTACATCTGTGCAGTACAAGTGCAATAATCCAAGTCAACTACTATGTAGTCTTCCCTTAGCTCTCTATTGTGCAGATATTTTTATATCTGAGGGAAACGTATTCCAGAAAATTACAACTTTCTTCTATTTTAATGCTTTTTTGTACTATATACACTCTTTTTATTTTGCCTGTCATATCTTTATCTTTAATGGCATCTTGCGTTAAATGTTTGTACTCTATATAAGCTACTAGAACTAGCATTGTCCTGAAGCAGTAATCCCAAGATATAAATTAAGATGAGTCTAAGTCAAATGTTCTAGAAAGTGTTAACTTAGATGGGAAAACTACAAAATGCAGGCCTTATTTTTCTGATTTATATGTTTCAAAATGTTTAAAGATCTATCCCTTTTTTCCTCCTTTCACCAGACAAGGAGCTGCATGTATGGTCTGGGAAAAAAAAATATCACAAGAAAGACTAAATAATACATTTCACAATGGAGGGAGGGAAGATGAAAGTTAAGACAAAAAGGCAAAGACATCTTAGAGAAATAATGGGATTAAATGCATCTCTGCTAGTTTTACATTTCATATTTATTGAAAGAAGGAATAGCATTGAGTTGATTTGTAAAAAGTAACAAAACATCAACTATAACACATTTAGTTCAACAAACCTCAAATTCAATAAAGAAGCTTATAAATACACATTGTTGAGTTGTTGGAATAAGTCTAATGAGAATCACAGGGATCATATCATGGTGAAAATATGAGATAAAAACCTGAACATCTGTGAAAGAACCGATGTAACAAAGCCAAACTGGAGTGAATGGTTTCTTTTTTAACAATAAGGTGCATTTCCCTTTTACAAAAAAAGACAAAACAGTGAAGCCCCATGTGTCAATGAGAATAAACATTTTAGAAAAGTGACCTTAAAACTGACTAATTCATCTGTTTGTAGAAACAATGCTTTTCTTCTTCGAGCTTAAAGGAAGATTGGATAAAAAAAATAAAATAAATACAGTTTATTGATCAGCTGGATAGACTATGCTATACTATTTACAGAGAGCACTTAATATTTCACTATTGTTCACCACAACATTACCCATATATATTTGAACCATGATAAGTACTGTAGAATAATGTTAATATGGATATTCTGAAATGATATGAAAAGGAGACTAGGATATGAATATATGGATAACAGTTGAAGAGATGCCTACAGAGAGGTTAAAGTCTGTGCATCAAAGTGCATAATGAATGATGGAGCTGTTCCAGCACCTAGGGATTGTTCAGGCTTCTAGGACAGTTTAATAAATGGCCCATTCCCCCCACTAAAAAAATACAGCCTTTTCACTGTAGCCCTTATAATGCAATGATTCACAAAAGCTAAAAATTGTATTCATTCCTGCTCAAGTGTTGAGAAGTGGAAAGTAAGAAGAGCAAAGTCTGGCTTGAAACTGGCCCTAAGATCCACACATGGCACACAAGCAACATTTACTTACAGTTACCCAGTATTTCCTGCCCAACTCATCAGAACTTCTGAGCAATCGACAAGACATCAGACATCACTTGTGTATGACGATAAAAGGTAAAGCTGAGCTTTGCTGAGAGCTCTCATCACTATCAGCCACTTACCAAAACATTTTTATTAAAAAACAAAACTATATAATAAAAACAATATCAATAATGTTTGGGGTAAGAAAATGTTTTAAGGAACAAAAAACATAAAAAAAAAAAAAGAAAAAAAAAAAAAAAAAGAAAACTGATACAGACTGGGCCAGAATAAAAACATAGCAATCTGAAAATAAATATTTCACAATACTCTTGGTTTCTAAAAAAAAAAAAAAGAAAAAAAATTTTTTTTTTAGTTTTTTTTAAAAGGGTCTTTTTGCAAATGACATAATTGTTTAGCTCTATAAATATAATTTATATAGTTTCTTTCTTCCATCTTCTCCATGTTAAAACGCTCATTAAATCACACAGATGTACACCCATCCTCCACAGGGCAAAGTGTCTCTGCTCACTTGCAGACAAATTGGTCTACAATTCTTGTGCAGCGCTTGCACTTCACGTAGCAACACCAGTGGAACTTGCAGTTGCAGCGCTCCACTATTTGGGCTTTGTACTGATCATAACCTCGGCCACAACACATTAACTCGCACCCATCCATGCCTTCTGATGTCTTGTTGCAAAGGCGTCCCACTGTGCCCAAGGAGCCAGTGCTTTGGTTCTTTAAGCAGTAGTCTGGACTCTGGTCGATGTGCACCAAATCATTGCCCGTGGGTGGGTTGAAATTGCTGTGCAATGGTACCAGTTTGCCACGTGAGTTGAGCTTCATGGCTGCAGCGCTGTCATACTTCTCCTTCAGAGCATCACCCACCTTTCGGAAGTCAGCCAGCTGTAGCCAGCAGGTCTTTAAGCTGCAGGAGCCCGACACGCCATGGCACTTGCACGACACATCAGCGAGGTTTGACACAGCCTTAAAAAAATACAGGAAGAAGATCTTTAAAAGCAGTTTCTAGGAATGGATTTCAAAAGTGCTCATTCTTTTTAGAAAACACTTCTGCTAACCTAGCTAAAAAAGTATAATTTGCAAAAATATGCATAACCCTTAAAACACTCACATTCTACCATGTCACAACCACAAACTTGAATCTGGCTTTATTGGGATTTTATGCAATAGACCAACATAAAATAGTTTCCTGTTGTCTTTTTATTTCATATATATATATATATACAAAATTATGTTAATCATAATCATGAGCATTCTTTACCCTGACCCAAAGTCTGACAAAGAGCATTATAAAACCCATCAGAGAAACAAGGATTCATTTTTAACCGTTAGCTGGTATGAATAGTTATTGATAAGTTTGGGTTTTAAAGTATATTCGAAGGTACGAACATCTTAATCCACCAACTAAAACACAGGTAGATCTTAGGCCCTGCACAAGTGCCAATCTACTATGCCATGGATGTCAAAAGAAACTGACAGGTTGGAAAAATAGGGCTCATTCTGAGAAGCAGCAGAGAGGCAGTTTGCTAAAAGCGACACAAGTGATATGTGGAAGTAGTAACAATGCTCAGATTGGCCGAAATGCAAATTATGTGAAAGAAATCTAAATTTTAATATCACCTAGAACAAACCATCTTCACTGAAATATATGGTGATTGCAGTTTAATGGTGTGGGGAATGTTTTCATCAATCAAGATGGGGAAGCAGCTTAAAGCTAAAGGGAAGAAGCCACAATCAGATGAAATTAAAATTAAAACCTTTCAGAGGACAAAAAAAAAAAATTTAAGCTGGGGAAAAGGCTCCCCTTTCAGCAACACAATGTGGTTCCATGAAGCATTCTCAGAAATTCCAAATATAAATGCACGCAACCATGTTCTTCCTTTTTGAGATGGAGGGGTATTAGAGAAATACTTCACTTTTATTCTTTTTCTAAAGGTTACATCATAAAATGTTATTGTGACCACAGTTTTTACAATGTTTTACAATGGCTTTTTTAGGACCCTATAGCAGAGATGACCCAATTAAGTTTTTTTCCAGTCCAATCTCATATGTGGGCTGAGCATATCGCACTGATCCGATACTGCTGCAAGAATTAACCATAAACCTTTCCATGCAAATACGGTAAGTAATCAGGCTCATCCTACAAGTTTTTTAAAAACTGGTAACAAATTACCACAGCTTTAAAACAGCGTTACTTGCTGCGACTGCTCAGAGTCATTCATCCTACATCTGATCTAGCCAATTAGTGAATATCGATATTGGATCAGTGCATCTCTGCTCTGCAGCTGGTGCTTAAGTATTGACAATAGTATCTTACAATAACACAAAATTCAAAACTCATTTTATAATTTCCCTGTTTATTTTTTTATTTTTATTTTAGGCTTTGTTTAACAAAAACAGAGACACCAATTACCAGGCTTAGCCTATTTTCAGTCGGAAACCATGGACAACATGAGAAAACACTAAGTATGAATACCTTTGCAAGGCACTCCATATCTCCAATGAGTTGCTTTTTAACTGCATGCTCATAAGGAATCACTTTTCTATTGAGGACAGTGCTGTCCTGGCTAACTCTCCAAAGGTGCACAACATAAAACTTTCACCCATTTGTTTGATTTGAAAGGAAACAGTCTGAGAAGAAAGATCTAGCATTATGTTTTCTTTGAGGTCGATTCAAGATGTTTGGAAAGAAAAAACCCCGAGCCGTCTCCAACGACTCTCTCTCCCTATACACATCAAAGCTGAGGAGGGAGTGAACAGACAGAGCTGTTAAACAGATGATCATACAGAATCTATGTTACGGACCTGGTTTATCTCACTTATAAAAGTCAGTTTTTCTCTTTCTGCACCTTCACACTTGTTTCCTATCAGATGACGCAAAAGACCAGTGTAAATGTCTTACCCTCCTTCCTGCCTCATTATTGTGGAGGTTCATCTGCAGCCTTGCGCTCTCGTACGAGCCTTTTGGATAGCTCTTCTCCCTTTCGCGTGCGTCCACAAACTCCTTAGAGAACCTATAGCCATAGTTGAGGTTGTCTCCGCAGCCACCCCACAGCCAGTCTCTCTGTAGATCTTTGGGACGAGCAGCCCGACTGCACCCACAGCTGTTGAGCTCACCCTCTCTGCAGGCACGGCTCACTGTGTTCACCACCCCTGCTGCACTGATCGCATAGGTGAACGCTGTTTCACGACTGCCTGTGTATACACAAAATGACATATCACATTTGACATAGTGAGATTTAAAGATACAAATATCTACAATAGGTAATTTCATGAGCATTACCTTGGAAATGTATTCATACCTCTTTAACATTTTCACATTCTGTCACAATCTAACCAAAACCTTTGAGGTAGAATAATTAAAAGATTTATATATTAGCACAAAATAGTTGAATGGGAGGAAAGTGATGCATGTTTCTCATTGCTTTACAAAATACTATCCCAAAAAAAATATTTGTGTGCATTAATGCATTGTATTACGTCTCTTTTTACTCTGAACTGACTCCTGTTTCTGTGGATATATTGACTAAAACACCCCGGTTAGTGATTAAGCTTAAGCAATTTAAAGCAGGTTTGATTGCAAATTATGGTTAGAAGTCTTGTACAGTGCACGAAGTGCTGTTCGGTCCATCATCCAGTAACCTAAACAGTAAAGCATAACTGCAATTGTGGATGTCCAATTAAATTCATTAGCCAGTAAAGGGAACCATTATTCTAAAGAAGAGCTAATTATTTTGGCCTCTACGGAAAATGTACAAGAAAAAAGGATCGGTGAAAGAAAGCCAGAAAAAGCCAGCTTTGTAATTTGCAATAAACCATGAAGAAGACGGAACTGCTTATTACAAACAACATATGGATGGAAGAAAAAAAATTCTGCACATCATTTTGAAAAAAAACTTCTGTGAAACTTTTGAGATTGTAACTTCAAACTGAATGGGGAGGACAATACAGGGCAATCCTGGAAGAAAATGCAAGATGTTTATAGTGTTTCCGAAAACTAATTGTTAGTTTTTTTCAAAATTGAATATTTCTCTGTGTCACTCTGACTTAAATGTGTGCAGTGTTAGGATATGTGATGTCATATGACAGCAGTCATCATAGGCTAAGGAGTACAGAGCACTTCAGCCAAGTACTGCAGGCTCGTCACTGACAGCATGCTGAAGAGTGTAATCTGGTTTGCTGTTATTGGGCCGCAGCCAGAGAGAACACAGCGCCCTCAAGTGACCAAAAGGCCTCTTAAACTATGGGCATTTTAGTCCATTTAAAATTGCCATAGAATCTTTCCATTAAACTGTCATGACTGAGTGATGGTGGAGTCACAGGTCATTAACGTTTTTCTATCCTGGGCATTTATTCTGTAAAAAAGACAACAGAGAGGAAAAGACTAAAGCTATGCAAGTTATCATTCTAACAAAGCCACAGACAACTACAGAGAACTGATAAGCTCAAGGAGAATCAGATGAAAACAGTCTGTATAGCTGGTGGGTAGGTTGTGAAGATCAGGACTGCTAAACAGCAAAAAAATAATACCCCATATAGTCTATGAGGCCAAATCTATAGGGATTAAACTGTAATGGCAACAGCAGATGGGGAAAGAGAGATGGGTCAAGAAAAAGAAAATATGGAGCAAAATAGAACAAGGGATATGTAAAAATTGATGATCATATAAAAAGAAGACACTGCTGAAAAAATTCCTTAGACAAAAAAGGAATCCGAATGCAGTTTCACTCTGCTGTTTTGTTTTAAGGCTTTCATAGACAGCCATTTAGGCAAAAGACATCTTTATCTAGCACAAAGGGGAACAGGAACAACTGGCAGCTTATGAGGTTGTCATTGAGGACTCACTGTTAAGTAGTAGGCTGTATTCAAATAGGTGCATTTCTAGGTTTGGTAAAAAATAGTAACACAGCTGTTCAACCATAAACCTCACAGTCAACAAAATATCTAGAAAGGCTAAGACAATGAATCATTCTGTAAAGGTGTTAAAGTCCATAGGTAAAACTTTGTGATCAAGGCAATTTTCTAAAATAATGCATCCGCAGAATATCTAGAGTGGTGCAGAATAAAAGGGTTATTTTTACTGAAAATATGTATAGCAATTGACAGTGGTTTAAGATGTATAAATTACCTACCGTAAGGATTATTTTCATAATTTTTATATTGAAAAAAAGCAACATGAAAGATGATAAATGCAAAAGCAGCAAAGAAATTAGAGATTATCCCATCTTCACTCTTAAAAAGGAAAAGACTGGAGAGAAGAAGCAATGTCAGATGTGAATAGTGTATCACATGCATTGAACTGGATAATGCTTATCTTGTGCAAATAGGGCTTTATTCCCAAAATCACTTTATAGAATGGGTTCTAGTTCAGTATTACAGACCCAATTGTGGCATTTCGTTTATATTTCTGTTGTCCTTGTTATTTTCTCTGATGTAAGGTAAAAGACAGTTAACTTGTGTGGATGTATGTGCACTAGTGTTGGTGCAAAATCAGGTCAATTTTTTTCTTTTTTAAGATTTTCATTTCTCATTCTATTTATTGCAACCACTTAAAAAAAAACCTTCATTTCAAGATTCAATGGCAATCATTGCCCTGATTTTAGCTGTATTTGAAAATATTGGACATTTTGCAGCATCACTTTCAAATTGGAAACATTAATGCTAACTTTCTGAGTCCTACATCCAGTTACCTGTGTAGTGAAGGACTGCTGTGAACATTCAACTGTGCTCCAGGTTAATTGAGACCTTTTGAACCCAGGTAAACATCACAACCGAGATTCTCCCCAAGCATTTTTTAAAAACACAAAATAGACTATAAGCTGTAAACTATGGAGAGATTGGGACAGAGGACTGGGGTGCAGGCATAAGTCCTAGTATGTGCTGCATGCTGGGAAAAAAAAGCCCAGTATGCTGAGGGGTCAAATTTAGAAGTCACAAAGAAGCCTCTGACTGCAGAATCTCAGTTGTATGACAGTCTGATGAAGCGGATGCTCAGAGATGTCTAATTTCCCTTAAAAAAAAAAAAAAAAACTCCTTTGTAAGATGAGTTTCCAGAATAGAAGCAGCCTTCTTTATTATTTTGTTGAGCTGTGTTAAGTCAGTACTTCTGATGCTAATGGGATGGCAGAAGAGATGACACACTATACAAAAAGTATATAGAAGTATGCTCCAGCCAGCTAAAAGCACTAAGCTTCCAAAAATTCAGTACTTTTTTATTACATTTCTTTTAAAATAAGGTATTCTTATTTTTTTTTTTTTTTTTAAGCCGCTTTGGAATTTAAGTTATTGTTTACAAGCCCCTAAAAGCCACAGGTTACTTCCACATCAGTCCTTTTTGCTGCTACCTTATCTAGGGGTCACCATAGCAAGTCACTGCAGCTTGCAAACAGACTTAGAGTTTTACACCGTATCATCTTGGAGATGCACAAAACTACCGGATGAGAATAAATTGAGTGGTTAGGTGGGAAAAAAAGTTTTTTTCCTTTATCCAGTTTGCACAAATCATGTTTGTACAGCTGAAGATGACACACTCTAAAGAAACATTAAAGAAATTCTTACACCACAAGCAATATCTGTAATAAAAACTAACACCAATTCTAAGATTCAATTACATTTTGTGACTTAAGCGACCAAGACTGCTGTAACTCTGCACTAATCACATTATTATTTTACATGTTAATTATACTAAGAGTGCATAGAGTTCTGATGAGAAAGTAAACCAAACAGCTTTTGCATTTAGCAAAATATAGTGTTGCTAAAAGCAAGTTAAGCCTACTCCTCATATATCTCTAAGAACAAACAGACCCTGTAATCTCTGACAAGTTGATTTAAGTGTATCCTTACTACCCTCTTGTATTTAAATACAGGCAGAAGTGTGTGTTAGACTATCTCTCATTCATCAGTGGGAAAGCAGATTCTCTGTCTCCCTTCTGCTCCATGTCAGGGGCTTCATTTGTGGGCCAAAGCCACATATGATTTATCCAGCAACCTCACCCACCAACTATTCCCTTCACTCAGCTGCTGAGAATCATCAACTCCATGCATTTCACAATTTTACCCACAGACTTACATTTGCTTTCATTTTTAACCCCCTCTAAAAAAAAAAAGAGAGAAAAAAGGTGGAGCTCAAATTTTGAATAAAAGAAATAAATTGTAAGCTTATGCTTGTTAACTCTGGGTAATGCATAGAATGCCTTCCATATTTTAACACTGGGCCGCATATCACGTTCAAACCATAAGCGATGAATCAACAAAACATGGTTCATGCTTCAGCAGAAAAAGACTCATGGTTCTCCTTTTGTTCAATGATTGAAAATCTTAAAGGTGCGGCTTACAATTGTGATGGGCTCTCTTCACTATAATGTCTCTAAGTAAAATCTAGAGTAGAGAGATATCATGAAAGCAAAGCATAGTATACTTGTGAATTCACAAAATGCAGCCAACTTTGCAATGTACTTTATTCAATCGAAGTATAACTTGTTAGAAACCAATGTGTGATGATTTTTGTTCCCAGCTGACAGAAACTGCCAGGGAAAGACAGAGAACAGATCCGGCTATGGAAGAAAACTATTATACTACAGCTGCAAAATTATTGTCAGAGTCAAGAGAGACACATTCAACATTGCCTCTCTAAGTCTGGAAAAGTATGATGCCGGAGTCATGCTGTTGTTCACAATGATGTCAGACTCAAATGTATATGTTTTCTATCGCAGGGTTGGACTGGGGTTGGTTTGTTTCTAAACCAGAAGTGAAGAAGAGTTGATTTCGAAGGAGACTGAGACCACAAAAGTGGGTCTTCGTCCAGCCATCTAGTTTGGACCAGGGCTTACTTCAGTATATTCACACCTGTACAGAATGTTTGGACCAAGTAGCGAAAATGAACTCTGGTAAATCAAACCAAAAGTGGCTGGTGTGAAAATACCCTTGATATAAGTTCAATATAGGGTTGAAACAATTAATCACATTAATTGATTACTGAAATAATCATCAACTAATATTGTAATAAATTAATCTTTACGTGCCTTTAGCTGACAGAGTGACCCACTTTGAGCAACAATTATACCAAAATTTTTTTAAATAAAAACCGTAAACATTTTGCATTTAAGTTGAAAATCTTTTTTCGTATGTCATTAGGCTCTATCCAGAACTCCTCAAGTGGAAAAGTTTTAGTTTCACTTAGTGTAATTTGGCAAAAAGTCTTCTTTAAGGAATTTTTGGCTATCCGATTATCGAAAAAATAATCTACGGATTAATCGATTTGCAAAATAATCGTTAGTTGCAGCCCTACTTCAATATAACTACAGCTGTTCTGCCTTAGGTGTTATTTGGAGAACATTATTAAAGAAAAGTTTGATGGATCAAGGAACATAGGCAGTTTGGAGATAGACTTCTGGAGTCCAAATTTAAGAACTTAACTTAGCTCAAAACCTTTTGAAGGGGAAAATAGATTTGCCTTCTGAAGATGTAATCTTTACCATGGAGTGGGAAAAAAAAATATTGATGAAAGGCAGCCTTAGTTAAAAATCTAGAATACTGATTTTCAAAAACACAGCTAACATGTAGAAGGTGCTCTGGTGAGACAATATTTAACATTATAGCCTAAAAGATGGTGTTGGTAATATCCTGCAAAGATATTGACAAAGTCTTCAGGTATGCCCTAATTGCTTTGCAGTGGTGTTTTTTTTTTTCCTTTTTGTTTTACACATGTGTACAATTTCTTACCTATTTGCATGACACGTCCAAAAACAGAGGAGTTGTCCACAGTGCTGCAATTCCAGCGCCGGTGCCTGAACTGGTACTGGCATTCACGAATCCCCATTTTGGCACCTTCACCAATAAACTGCATGTGGTCCTGGTAGAGCTGGCACAGTTTCTTTTGGCCCTGAGACAGGCCTACCAGCTGGCTGCAGAGAGGCTGGGCCCCGATGATATAGGCCTCTGGGATCAGTAAAGGGTTCATGGCCAAAGACCTGGGGGTTGGGGGGGACACACAATGCAGTGTTTCACTCAGTGCCACTGAAACAGATGTATGGAGGTTTTTCAGGCCAAGGCCATGATCATCAGTTGATTTCCCTTGATTGAGTTTGAGAAAGGTATGTAAATCATTGCAAAGAGGGGTATTCAGTCAGAGTCATAAGTAAAATCTCTGCATGTGGGCTTGTCTTGGGTTGAACACAGTGTCCCTGGGAGCTGGGAGAAGTTCAAGTTCTGTTCTCTACAAACATTAGGAGGCTGATCAGAGGAAAATAATACATCTCCAGAATGCCAGAGAAACAAATTTTTGCTGTACATGCTTTGATCAGGTTTTTCCTCACCCAATGTTTTAAATGTTGCCAATACAAGCCATTTTTCCCCATTGACTATTGGGGTATCCAAAATGCAAAAGTACATCTCTCTGGATTTTCACAGCTTTCAGGTACCAAATATGGAAGATCCTGATTGTTTTATGTGTAAATCAAAGACAGTATTAAGAAAAAGAAACGGATAATGACACTACCTAAGAGGATAGCAAGAAGCAAATGTTTATAAAGCAGCAAAAAAGGGAAACACCAGAGTGAGCATCTGGTTCCAGGCCACAGAACAATTAGAGCAGCCCATCTCTGAGACCCCAGAGAGACACAATTAGCCCCCAGTGTAACCTGATCCACTGAGGAAACTCACCAGTGAGGGAACAAGGGAATGAATACACCAATGCATACACACCAAGAGGCACATAAACGGGGGGTGCAGGGGGGGTAACGTCTCAGCACTCAAACACACACAGATTGATGCCCTGTCAACATCCACCCTTAAATCATTCACACCTGTGAGTTCTCTTTAAAAGGAAACAGAAAGACACACAGACTTTTTTGGCATTCAACTCCCATCTCTAAGAGATCAGTGGTATTCTAAGAGGCTACAGCAGGATTTGTAATTATACTCTGTAGTTGAACTTTAATGTAGCTGCTCCAATAAAATTCTTAATAGGCTTTTGTCTTTAAAAAAAATGTTTTTATGTATTGTTAAACAAAGTAGTGTAATAGATTATATCATTCAATTGGTTGTATGTTGCACAGTTTATAAACTGAAATGCTCATAAAACGCTTTAGCTAAAAAATTTGTGAAAAGTGCTCCTGCTATCACTGATACATAGCGGCCAAGTTTGTAAAAAATATTATGTATGTGGAGTTCCATCTCAGTAGGAACTACTGTGTGTATGAATTTGAAGGCTAAATTCTGAAGCCCAAATTTCATGTTTCAGAAATATTTTAAATTTTTATTTGGCAAAACATTTAAACTACACAGTTAACAAATCAAGACAAGGTCTTTACAGACAAAAATGTATACATACCACCATGAGTTGGCCTCTACGACCACCTGCATGAGGAGCATGACGAGGGTGAGGGCAAAGACACAGTTCCTGGAGTCCAGCAAGCTGCCAAAGGGCCAGCAAACTGGCCGACAGACACACTTTAGCCCAATGTTCATACTGCCAGAGATCTGCAACGAAACAGAGAACAAAAGCATTTCAGTCTATATTCTTGATCTACTTATTTTTCATTATTCAGTATAGAAACATTCATGTTATTTAAAGATACTAGTTATATTTCCTCATGTGCAACAAAGATGTAAGAGTGACAAGAGCCCTGAGGCCACCTGCGCTTGAACAGCAGAGCCAGAAAAGTCATTTAGTCTGAGTGTGAATCACAGAAGACTGACAGACATGCAGCCAGGGAAGAAACAATGAAACTCCAGACACATTCCTGGGAGCAGCCGCCGGAAGGCCTAAAGTTTGATTTTTATGAAGCTGCAGTTCAAGGTATGAGGTGTTTAGATATGACATGCAAAACAAATCACAAAAAATAAAAAAACACATTTTATACATTTCAATATATTTGAAATGTTTTACCTGTTTTATGATCTTATTGACAGTGTAGGTCTCTTTGGTGTTTTTTTATTACTCTGATATTTAGGAATGTATGATAGCATATTATTATTGTTACACCTTATTTTTTAATTGCAATTCCGTGCAGTTAATACAACTTTTAAGAGATCTACTATAAAAAAAAATACGTTTAAAAATACATATATATTAAAAAAATATATATATATTAGGTGAACGCTTGACATGTCATTAATCAAAAGAAAATAGGTTTTCATTGCGTTAAACCATATTTCCACAATGGTTAATTGAGTTTCAGACAAACACCAGCCACGTTTTGTATGTTGGTTTGCCAAGATTACGCAAATGTAAGAAAAAAGCTGACAGCAATTATTTAACAAGTGCGAAAGTCCGGAGAAACTTTGCGCAAGCAGAACATATGTCTAAACATTGCCCTTTATTTTTGCAAACCCAGCCGTGCTGCCAGCCCTCCAGCTGCAGCTTGGTGTACATTTTGGGACTCAAAGAGTCATTCTCCTTAATTTTTCAGGTTTGTGCTGTGAAGACAGTATACCGACAACTAAAAGGCCAAGTTCACCCGATTCGGGTACAAAATTATCCACGCACGGTGCGCATGCATGAGCATGTGCTTTGAGTTTGCGAGAAGCCTCGGTATTAATTAGAATTAACAAGCTGCCTATTTTTTCTTCTTTTTTTGTGCTGTCTCTAATAAAAAAAAAAATCAACAACAGCAGGAGACTTAAGATTTTAAAGTAGCTACTACTAGATTGTAGTTTTTTTGTGTGCCAAACGAGAGCACCTATGGACCCTCTAGAAAATAATCATAATAATCTTAGTTATTTTACTTTAAATTTAATATTGGATTGACACACATTTCCTATTTGATTTGAATCACTTAGAAATGTTGCTTTTTTTTTTTTTACTTTTTTTTCACCACCACTATAAACTGATGTAAATTCGTGCGCCCAGTGACCCCTAGAAACGATCTGACCCGAGGAGAACCTTATAGAGCCTTGCAAGATGACTGATGACTACTGTGCGACTTTTTGTCGGTGCAAATTATGTCGGCCTACAGAACTATCAAACGAGGTCAAATACAATACAATACTGTAATGCAGAGAAATTACTATAGAAAGCTGCACTATTAGTCCTAATGAAAAAATTAAATAACACCTCACAACCAGAACTGAAAAGAAAAAAAACAAAAAACAAAAACAACAAGGGCCCGTTTCAAATCCAGGGTTTCATGGAAAAATTTATCTAAAATATTTTACTATCAGGGAGGTTACATTTGTTCCTCTATTAAATCATTCGATTGTAAACTCTTAGAAAGACCCGAAGCTTATTCTGGGATTTTAATTGGCTGTGAAAGGTAGCCCTTAAAATAGGCTATAATTACTTTTTTTTTTTTTTTAATAATCGCAGTTTTACAAAAGAACGAATATTGTTCGTTTGCACGCACCAAAACCGAAAGCGCACAGTTCAGTTCAGAAAATGAATGAACTTTTTTCTCCCATTTGTTATTTCCCAAAAACCAGGAGAGGGAGCCAGGTGCAAGGATTAGACTGAGAAGAAGAACAAAGTAATAATATTACAAGCTCAGTAAACTTCAAAAGTAGTCTCACTCAGGTCTCACTAACTTTTATGGATGAAATGTCCTTAGTTTTGTGTTTTTTTTTTTATTTGGAATATTGATTATTTCTACAATTAAGGGTTTAAGAATGGAAGTGTGTTTTCATTTTATATCTATAATGGACTTACACCATTCAGGAACACATATTAAATACAGGGCGAAACATAGATCTACACACCGGTCTCCCTTAGATCAGGCGCGGGACATTTATACTCACCAGGGAACACAGGATGATAGAAGATGCAATCCACTCTTTGCAGAAGGAATCGATGAAATAATCCCAGATGTGGCCGGCTGGATTTTAGGTTCCTGAAGTCAATCCTCGTGTTTTTTAAATCCGGATTTCGTGAAAAGTGCTTGATACGACTGAGAGTTCCTCTGGCTTTTATTCTTAGTGTTCAAGAGAGCCCCAAAGGTGAATCTATTAAAAGCGCTCCGTGCGCTTAAAGCAGCTTAAAGGTCTGGTAAAAAAAAAAAATAATAATAAAATAGTGGAATATAGGTACAGAATAAAAACTTTGATTGAAAAATGATAAGGTGGATATCGTTTTTTTTTCTTCTTCAGTGCGTAAATTTTTAGGAAGGATTCACTAAATGAAAACCAAAGTGCCACTGGTTTGGTCATAGGATGTAACCCTACTTTGTCGACTCACTTATGAAGTGAAGTGGGGAGACTCTGATTAATGTTCAACTACAAAACAAAGAGAATTCTGGTTTGCACACGAGATCCAGCCGCTTCAGCCGCTCAAGTCATAGCGCCCTTTACCTGCAGAAAGATCCACACGGTGATCCTTGCCACACATGGCTTGTCAATTTACCTTCCATTCTTCAGTGCTCTGATAATTCCCTCAGCCAAAGTTAAAGGTTTTCACATGAGAGAAAAAAACAAAATAAAACACACAAACAGTCCACCGCTGCACAAATTGACGAGTTAAAAAATAAAATTGGGATCCTGATAGCGTGCTCCAAATAAGAAAAATATGATCTTCCCCTAATTTCCAAAGCTTGCGGCTTGACGAGCACGCAGTGTGTCAGGAGGACAGAGCGCGTCAACAGCAGCGTCTCTTGCTGGCTCCGACTGCTTTATGCTCCCACGCTCTATGTGCGCCTTTGGTTGCGTTCAAGTGCAGAAAAATAGCCCTCCCTCTCCTTTCCTCTCCCCCTTTTTCTTGCCTCTCTCACCTGCTACAGTTGCCTCCTCTCTCAATGTTGCGCTGATGCGCATTTGAACAAAAAATAAAAAGAGATATTCTTCAATGCGCATGCGCTCCAAATTAATACCACTTGTTTTCCTCCAACTAACTTTTTTTTTTTTAAGAAGCAAGGATTCAGCAAAGGTAAAGTGGCGCAGGGAGGGGGTGGCAGAGAGAGGAACAGAAATGAGGGCGGAACAGCCTGTAACAAAACAAGCGTCTCTATTACCTAAAATAAACTTATAAAGCACCCGCGGCTAATAGCCCATCCATACCAGGGCAGAGTCAGAGATTTTCACCGGCTGCAGATCAGGTTACCGCTGCAGCACAATCAGTGCAGGCAGGTCCACACCGCGCGCTGCTTACACAAGCCGATCTCATCACCCGAAGGCCTGCGAGCATTTTCGGTAAGTATTTTTTGATGGCACTCTATCTGAAAACAAGCAGCCGAAATCTGATCGCTTCTAGGTCGATATTTTTCAATGAGTCTGACGCAGACTGTTGGGGTGGAGGCAAAGTGGTTAATAGTTTCACACAGGAAGGCTCCTGTGCTCATTAAATGCGTGTATTTTGCATCGACTGAGGTAATTGGGATTTAATAATTAGTAAAAATATTTAGAATAAGATAAAGAGGAATCAAGAAACTAATTTTCTGCCTCTATGTTACTTTATACTAGGTGATATAACCAGATGCATTTCAGTAAATAATGATACAACTATAAAGGTAAAACATTTCAAGTATTTATTTTGTCTTGTTTTTTTAATGTTTTATATGGGTTACAGGTGGTTGTTCTTTTGCTTTTAGACCTAACAGCTGCGTTTGACTCTTTGGACCATTAGATTTTATTTAATCTTTTGGAGCAGTGGGTGGGCATTAGGGGCACATCATTGGTGTGGTCAGATTTTATATGAGTGAGGGAACACATTGCCAGATTTTGAAATGATCCTCATCCACTCTGCTCTTATGTGGTATCCCACAGGGGTCCTAGGCCCCCTTCTTTTTTTTTGTCTTATTTGGGTTAATGTTTTAGAAAGCAAATGATTTTTTCTTTTTTCCTGTTGTTTATGATTGTCAGGTTTATATCCCTAATAAAAGGGTTTTTTTTAGGTTTTTTTTCTTTACCGAACTACTGCTTCAATGTCTTAAGGAATGAAAGGCCTCGATGGCTTTACATTGTCTGCACTAGAAGTCAGTTTTTTGACACTTCTTGTGGAACTGCAGCCTTTGGCTCAATATATGAAATCAGTCATCAAGTTGACAGCAATCTAAAATTTGTGTAAACAAGCTTTTTTCATTTAATGCAGCTGGCTAAAGTTAAGCCGAATCTTTGAAGACAGAACTATGAGGCCGTAATCCACTCTTTCATCACTACTTTGTGAGATTGCTGTAATGGACTTTATATAGGGGTCAGTGCTTCCCCTGTTGCTCATATCAGGTCCAAAATGCCGTTGCACTTCTTTTAACTGACACAAAAAAGCATGAGCATATCTCCAGTTTTGTCTCACTCCACTGGTTAGATTTTAGAAGTAATTTTAAAGTCATATTTTTTTGTTGTCTTATACCCCCTCCTGCCCTCTCAAGTCAGCAGAGCAGCCACTCCTGAACATCCCAAAAACCACTCTGCAGATTCAAGGTGATCATTCCTTCTTTGCTGCCATGAGGGGAAATGTGTGAGGAAAGGTGTTTAGGTAATGTCTTAGTAAGGAAACCTAGGCTGATTTAAGGGTATTCTGCCACTTGTGGTCAAAACACAGAACT